ATATATATATATATATATAAGAATGGAAGAAGAAAGGGAAAGTGTGGGGGAGGCAAATGCAAGATGTAGCGCCGCATCGTACCCCCAGCCCAAGAAGATACTCTGGTGTGCCTGCCGCGCATTGCATGCCGACTGGGAATTATACCCGCACGCAGGCATGTATATCTGCATACAGGCACGGAGGTTTTCATGTCATGTCAAACCCGGTGTCGTGCATACGGCACGTGGCACGCGCGGCAAATAATTCACTGCGAGGCACGCAATGTTCCCTTGAATTATGCCCAACCCACCGGGGTGTGTTTTGCATGCTGCTATCTCTGCTGTCGCTAGTGATGTACGGACGTTCCTCCTCTGACGGCTGGCGCCGCGGCGTCGCCCCGCTGCGCCGCACCCATATGACAGCAATGATTATGCCAAGCAGCAGCAGCAGCAGCAGCGAGAGAGAGAATCCTATTACCCACCAGAGCGACTCTAATAGGTCAGATGTCATTATATGCCCATAAACGTCTATGTGTGTACGTACATAGTCCCTAGTTCCTTTCTTCTCGTAACGCGGTGTGGCTCCCAACTTCGCTGGGGGCCACGTGCCGTCTCCACCACGGAGTGGCTAAGCGTGAAATCGAACAAAGCAAAAGGGAAATGGTCTCTGGAGAGCAGGAATCAACAAGCAGCACACGCAGACCCCACACGGTCCGCTATTCCTCTTCTGCCCACTCTTGTCTCCCCCTTCACTATTGCTGTCCAAACTTCGCGGAGAGTTCAGCATCGTTTGCAATGTAAATGCACTCACCTGCAACGTCGGTGAGACGGGCGCTGGACGAATTGCAATACACCCACATTCGCAAAACAATTCGAGCAGTGACTGATTTTTTTTTCTTTTTTTAGTTCTTTGTTCTTCCTTCGTCCCCGTTTGCTTTCGTTCCGTGTGGTATGGGGAGGGGAAACACACACACACACAGACATAGATATATATATATATATATATAGAGAGAGAGAGAGAGAGACAGATATAATCCCCGCAGGCCACAGAAGGCGGCTTCACTTTATGCTCACTTTACTCTTCGTCTCTTTTCGTTTTCTTTTTTTTCTTTGGTTGCTGTTGTTGTTTGGCTTTCTTTCATA